CACAACATTTTCCCTTTGGATTTAAGGCACTATCCAGTTCTACTCAAATCACACATCTTAATAATCAGCATATTGACTCAGCCACGGTTGCAACCTCAACCAACTCCTGTTATTAACAGCTGGTGGAAATTGAATTGTCAAAATATCTCCTAATCTTGATAGAATCATCTTGAACTTTTTAATTTAAAGCTGGAGACATTGCTGTCTCAGCAATCCCATCAACGCCCCAGAAGGTCAGAGAGTTAAGTTCTTTTTCTTTGCTATGCTCAACTTGTATTGCACTTGTGTACACAAACGCATCGCAGATCTTTAGTTAGTGGTACGATCTCTCTGTACACATGCCTGTAGTAATGGTTTTTAAATTAGATTTTAAACAAATAATTCCAAAATTTATTTCAAGAGGTCAGCTGCTGCAGTTCTGAAGGAGATGCAGGGATTTCCAACAAATACTGGTTGTGCTGGATGTATGACAAGTGTCCTGTATTTTCCATATTTCTGGACTAAGAAGAGGTTCTAAAGGACATTCTTTTCTTCTTAAAAAATCTCAAAAACTTGTAAGATGTTGTGTGTTACCGTCAAGCTTTAGCGTTTGAGACACAGCTCTGAAAAGCATGCTTTGTTCAAAAACTGCACTGAAACTCATTAAAAGAACATTGTAAAACATGACATAATACTAAACCTCTTTACGAAGTGTAAAACATTATGAATGAATCCAAATATCAATCAGTTGTGACGTCAAACTTTCAGTTGCCTGTTACAAAGCTGAAAATGAAGAGGAATTTTATTTTTCTTTACAGTGAGTCCAAACATACAAGCAAGTCAACAACAGAAATACTTTATGAGATGAAAATTTACATTTTAGAAGAACAGCTGAGCCAGAGTCCACAAAACCAACAACGTATCCCAAAGTAACCTGTGGAAAAGAGGAAGTCCTCATAAGTAATAGCAAATCATGGCAAGTGAAGATGTGGGATCCTAACAGACTCCAATCAAAGAAAGATAAATGCTTAAATTGCGGTTTAATAAAGTATTAATTTAAGGATGTGAAACATTTTCACATGGATTACTTTTTTATTGATCGGTCTTTCCCTCGTATATATGTCTCTATTATCCAGTTAGATAGTACAGGATAAATGTCAAAAAGTATGCGGAAAAAGCTTTCACCATTATTTATCAGTGTCTCATTTTTTGCATCACAGAAGTATATCATTTCAACAGGGAGCCGCTCTGTTAACACAATTCACCTTGTACTTTGGTTATAGATCAAAAGAAATGTAGCAATTCCAGAAAAAAAAAAAAAAACTAATAGCATAAATTTAGGGTGGAAAGAGGGGAGAGTCGCAAATTATCATGCAGAGAAAAGCAATCAAACAAAAATGATTAATGTGACATTTCTAAGGAACAACCATTTGAAACTTTATAATAAAGAGAAAGAACCCCTTTTTCATAACTATCATAACATTAAAGTCGATGAAAGGATATTTCTGGGAGCCGTGCCATGAAGGGGCAATCCACAAATCTAGAAGAGCTGAACGCTGGACTGTGAAAGGATAATCAGCCTCGTGAAACGGTCGGGTCCCCTTGCTGCTGTTTCTTATTGAAGTGTGCCCTCCAGTGGAAGAAAGCATAAAAGCTGACCAAACCGTCTCCTTTGCTGAATATACGAGTGACTGTCAGTTTTATAGACAAGGAAGTGGGAAACATTTCCTTTTTAAAAAGAAAAGAATTGAAACCCTTTGTGAAAAATAGAGACGTTGCAGCAGCAACATGCCTTAATTTTGACATGTCACATTTTGCACCTTAGGATGTTTTTATATATTTGTATAAAAGAAGAATCCCACACCTCAGAAATGGTAAAAACAAACAAACAAACAAAAAAACATGTAACACCTGCCGTCGATTTCATTCTTGATGAATAAAATAAAACAAACACAACAGGAAGTGGTAACCATTGTGACCATTTTAATAAAGCAGAATAAAGTGGAAGTCAGAAAGTAAACTAAGAAATTCAAGTCTCAAACCTTAAAAGAAGCTAAAATCATCATCCCAATGGTCTGGTGCAGCCTGGAGGGTAGAAGTATTATTTTAGAAAATATGCAAACAATCAGAACAATCATAGGTTTCATTTGTAGCACAGGTTCATTAGGGATGCATTATAATGTAGTTTTTGGAAAGGTCGCTGAATGATTGCGAGCTCTAATCCAAATGCTAATTTAGTAACCAAATGCAAAAGTGCAGTAATGTCATGATAATGACATGCAGATGAGAGCTCATCAGAACTGCTAACCATTAATGAAGCGGTATCTGAGCGTATTGTATGCGTCGGTCTGAGTATGTGGCTATGCTGTCAGTGCTGCATGCATATCTACATAATGTGTGCATAAAGAGTGCTCATCCGCAGCAGAATATTTACCATATTAATGTTCAATCAGTCTGCCACCGTAGCAACGCACAATTTGATTAGGACAGACCAAGTTAGCAATTAACACATGGAAATAACTCCCCGTGATTAGAGTTGAACAAACTTTGAGAACCAGAGCTCCTTTTTTCTTTTCTTTATTGAAAGTTTGAAAACTTAGATTTTCACTTTGAGAAGCTGAGGAGTAAAAGATTAGTGTTAGCATGTTAGCACTACGTGCCTAATGCATGTGAGTCAACTGTGATCAAACATCAGGATCTATTTTAATTCAGTACTTAGAAAATGTCTCCTATTTAATGACAGAAAAACAACATTAGGCCAATAGTGGAAGCCAGGAGGAGGACACAGCCTAGGTGAAAACTGGAGATTTGAATGCAGAGGATAAAATGGTATATGACTAAACAGAAAAAGATGGTGGAGTTTGTTGAGCCTTGATATCTGTTATAGGATAAATGACAAGTGTTGGGTCAGAAAATATTTTTTTTTCAGTATTTATGAAAGTCAAGTAATTAAAACAGGTTTTACTGGAGCTGCATATTTCTGTGATTCAAAGTTGAATATGAAGTCATAACATGTCAACAAAGATTTGCGCGCGCTTATTCTGTTGGCTGAAGTGTCTGACAAAGTCAAAGCTATAAATCCCAATTCATTTACAGCTCATCTATTTAGTAGGCATTAATTTATGACTTGGAACCGAGAAGTAAACTACTTCATCAGCACATCCAACACCGGCCGCGGCAGCAGCACCGCAAATGATGCCTCATTTTGTCAAGTGCACTTTGCAATTTGTGAAGATACTGCTCACATACCAAGCAGAACCGCAATTCGAATTGCCTCCTTCGGTGTGGATTTCTGGTGAGGAATTATTCTGTTTTTACAACAACAAATAAGGTCCTTGACTGCTCGTGTAATGCAATACGGCACTGAACATTCGCTCTGAAAAGGAGGGAGAGAAGGCTTGGATCCCCTCATAAGCATCAGCAGCACTTGAAGAGCCAACTCATTATGAATTCTGCCTCCCTCCCTCGTTTAGTTGTTACTAAAATGAAAAATGTTATTTCTTACAGCCTCGGTTTGAAAATCCATAAAAGAATGACGAAACAGAATGTAACTGCTCAACTCTAAATGATGCAAAACATTTTCAAATGCAACCTTAAATTTGTCAAACTGAAATATGCAATATTATGTTACTGTACAGACTTGCTCATCTCTCTGAACTGTGAAAACTCAAACCGATTCCGCTTTTCACGCAAAACCACCACATAACCTACAAAAATAAGAGCCTGCACAAACAGCATGTTGCTCCTGCTGGCAGCTACGATACTAGTCAAAAGCTGTGACTGTCAAAATCTGTGACATTCACAGCCTTTGACTAGTAAGATCCTAGGACTGGTTTTGGAAAACCCTCCATTTTAAACTTGAACATTTTTACCTGTGAGTTTGTGTCTGAATACCACTAGAGGGCAATAAAGGAGCAATCAATTATCCAGAGGAGTCTGCGATCAATTATCTTTGTTTGCCTGCCTGTCACTAAGTGATGGCCGACTATAAATGTTATCATGTGCAACTAATGTCACTGCAATAATTTAAAAATAAATATATAACTAAATAAAAACAGCAGATGTGTTTTATTTTATATGTATATATATTTTTATGTCTTCTGTAGAAAACGCAGAAAAACCAGTAATCCACATAAGTCTCTCTTTATATTTAGTGCTGAAATGATATACACATGAAACATAAACTGACAACTAAAACCACAAGTTCCACCGACGTAGTACGTCTGATATATTAGTATTACACTGACACCTGGTGGACATCCTTAACAACCTGCTCTTACCTGAAAATATAACGACAAATGCTACATACTACTTGCGTCACAATCTACAGTAATTTAGCTAAAAATATCTAAAATGTGTTATTTTAAATATTTTTGCTAAGGGGAAAAATCAGGTGACAAGACCCTGTAAAAGTATACACACCCCTGGATCTTTTCACACAATGTCAACAGCTGCAACGTCGAATTTATTTTATTGGAATTTGCAGAGACAATTTTTTATTTTTATTATTTATCGAACAATTTAAATTAACACACTTGACGGTTTTCGTCCAGTGAAATAAAACTCAAGATATTTTGTTTAAGCAATGTCCCTGAGCCGTTCTTCAACATACAGAACGTGACCCATCTATATGCAAAACAAATTTATATTTTAAGCACAAAAGTGTTATTTGTGCTTAGTTTACAGGGTTTTTTCATTATTAAAAACCTCAAGGGAAATAACCATGTGTTATATAAGCTGCTTCCACTGGCTTTGTGTTTTTACTGTAGCTGTTAATTATGTCCTGTATTGTAACTGAACTTAAACTTGACTAAACTGAAAGTAACTGACACTTCATTATTTATGCCTCCTACATCTTCAAAATCAAATCATTAAATTATTAGGACAAAAAAAGCATACATTACATATCGTCTCACGGTTTTCCTATATATCTAAACTGGCAATCAACTGATTTATTTCAATCGATTAAACATTTGTGAAGTCTATAAAAAGTAACGGCTTAAAAGAAATATCATTGGATGTTTGTGTTTGGAAAGATTAAAACTTTAATAAACAGCGAGTAGCACAATACTCTCGGTATAGAGACAATATAACTTAACAGTAAAGAAAGTTTTACAAAATGCACTTTTAAAGATAAAATCTGATAATTCAATTTGAACTGGCAAATAATCATGTGCCTCATTTCTGAATGCATTTTAACACAATTAAATCGTATCCCTTTACGGAAGAGTGAATCCACAATAATTTAGCAGCTATTTTTCATGCAGGTTTTGAATTCAGGTAGCAAATGTCAAAGTGAGTGTTTGATGCACGTGATGTTTACTTCCACACATAGATAAAAATATATATATTCTATCCTGATATGTTCACAAGTTCATGAACAGTAACGCAGTCAATTTGTATTATAAAACTGGCAATAGGTATGTTTTTTCTGCATCAGTGCAAAGCTGCAGGATCAAAATCTATGGTGAGAAACCGAGGTGGAAGCATACTCTTCCACCGTTCAATGCAGTACAACCATGACTTACCATGACTACAACACTCTAGTCTAGTCCTCTGTTTCTATCAGATCTAACTTTCTATTGTATGACATCCAACGATAACCTCATAAATTACTAAAAATCATGATTGTTTCAACTCATTCTCCCTAACATAGGGATACCTTCTCAAACAGAGTATGTTTTGTTTTTGACAGTGATCATTTACGAGCACCAGATCTTCTCCTGATCAAGTCCAAAACGCAGCAGGAGATCTCAAGAATTCAGCTGAACAAGTTGTCCCTTCTTATTCGGTTTTCTCCGGTGGAACTACCTCCATTAGCAGCTGGAGATGCATGGTGATGGGCCCTGTGGAGGGAAGAAGATCGAGTGTAATATCAGCTAAACATCACTAAACATTTTTATCTGCCTGGTGTCTGTCTGCCTTTGCTGATGAGATTTCTGACATTAATCTCTATATGCAGGTGAATTGAGTCTGCTGGATATTCTGTTAGCTGAGAGAGGAAGCGTACTCATGATTTTGCGAGCCCAGTTTGCCTTCTTGTAGACCAATGGGAAGTAAAGGATGAGTCCACTGAAGATGAAGATGGTGCAGTAAAGGTACGCCCACTCAGGCTTATCGATAATGGGGGCCAAGACAAGGTAGCAGGACACCAGGGTTACGATGCCAGCTATGACCATTGGCACCTTTAGTATGTAGCAAAAACAGAGGTTATTTTAACATTTTTTACTGAAAATTTTTATTTAAAAAAAATATAACACCCACCTTCCGCACACACGCGCACACACCCACACACACACACACACACACACACACACACACACAAAAATGGTAGTCAAATATTGGTTTCTGCTCTTTCTGCTTATTACCCATAATCTTGATAGAATGCATTGAAATGTGTGACAAAATTGGAAAACGCTTTTTATCACTTTTAAAGCAAAACACAATTAAATCTGTTGGAAGCTTTTCAGAAAGCCTCACCTTCACAGGCCTGTCGAGATCTTTCCGGGTGAAACGCATGACGATTAGAGCCAGAGTTGTCAGACCATAGAAGGCCCACTGAGCAAAACTAAAGTAGTTTATCAGAGTATTGATGTCCGCAGGAATAATGTAGAATATAGCCAAAATGCCCTAGAATATAAAGCAAGAAAATAGTAAAATTACTTGTTGATTTAAACAACATTAAAAAATAAGTAAGGCGATCCTGTGGGACCATGTTCAACACGAGAACTCAAACAATAAATATATTAGACTTACATTAAATAAGAGAGCAGGTAAAGGAGTGAAGCGTTTCAAACTAATATAGGATAAGATTTTCACCATGTGACCCTCTCGACCGGCTACATAGGACAGTCTGGGGGAGGAAGAAAAAAATCTAATGTGAGCTGCTAATAAATAATACAGTTGACATTGTTCTACTTTTCACTCCAAGTATAAAAATGATTTACTAAGCATAAGATATGTACAATCAGAAATAAAATTAAATAAATGTGTTTGTTTTACCTGCCAGCAGTGAAGCAGCTTCCATTTGCAGAACCAAATGTTGAAAAGGCCACAAACAGAGGAACTATCCAAGCCACAGGGTAAAGGACTTTGTCCCCAAAAGTCTATGGAGACAAAAAAAAAAAAGTCCCTCAGGAGTTAATTTGAAGATCTAAAAGTGGGGAGTATCAAACATTCTGTGTTTGAAATGGTCATTAGCTCATGTTAGAAAGTTCTCATTAAAGCCTTTTAATATATATGCCGTGCTGATAAGTTGTACACGTTTTTTTTTTTTTTTTTTTTTTTTTAATTTGTGCAGCTCTTTGATTTGTGGATAATTGTCCTTACCACTGCAACAGCTGAAGACGACAGCAGTTCAGAGGGCGTCATAACAGTAAAGTAAGCGATGTTGACAAACACGTAGCACACAGTCACCAAAGGGATTCCAATGACGATGGCCAGAGGCAAATTTCTGTAGTAAATTGAGAGGAAAAAAAATATTAGAAGGGACTTTACACTGATTAATATTCAAATTTCCCAAGATCTTGATTCATACCCAAAAGTATGCTTACCAGTTTCCGAAATAAATATCATGCAAGCATTTTAGTAGCAATTTCTTGAGCAGAAGATCTTAAAGGTAAATATGTTACCTGTATGGGTTTTTTAGCTCCTCTGTGATGAAGTTCAGTTGATTCCTGGCAAAATATTTGGAAAAAATAAGTTTTAATTACAGAATAAAAAAATAATATATTTGATTCACTGACAAACTGATTAAAATGCATCTATTTATTGTTAAGAGATTATCAACAGCATCTTCAATGCATAGTTTTCATGTAACGTCACACTTCCGGGAACTTTGTACCTGACAGCCATCTTGGAAGGTATCCATAGCTAACTCTAATGACAGTTGCTATGGAGTTGCTATGACAACAGTAAACACGCAACGTTCTCTGTCTCATATGGGTCAATTCCAACAGCAGTGATTTTGTTGATGTATCGTTCTCTTGCAAATCTTTTAAAGACTGTTAATATGCTTTCTTTTTGTTGGTCTTGAAGCCACGGCTCATCTATGCTCTGCATTGCGCTTGCCTACCAAGATGGCGGATCACTTCCGGTTCAGACTTTTGGGAACTACATACAAAATGTATGGATTTCTGAACAACCTGAACTTCTGAAAAGGTTAATAGGTTCTGAGTTAATGGCATAACTAATGACTAAGCCTTCCTCAGTTTTACAAATCTATCACTTCTTTATTAGATATTTGCTTGCAAAGAGGTTTGGGTGTATTTTTTATTTGGGTGACATTTTTTTTAAAATCTTTTTTACTCTTCAACTTGACAGCCGGGTCAAATTGACCCAAACATTATCTATATAAAAAGTAGACAATGTATTAAAACAAATTGAAAAAAGTTTCATGCAAAACAAAAATACTTCCAACTATTTTTAAAAACATTTATAAACTTTAAAACATACCAGGAGGGTTAATGAAGAAACCAAAGTAGAAAAATGTAAATTATTACCATCCATCATAAGCCCAAAGTCCGTTATAAAAAGCGAGTCCAATTGCTCCAAAAGACGTGGATGAGCCTTCAAATGCATTTGACAAGTTCTCTGTTTTTCCTGCACCCAAAAATATAAAAACATAAAACTGAGATTTCAAAGTTACTTCATCAAATGAGAAGTACTTAAGTTGTGACCTGAAATGAGAAGAATAATCAGAGTAAAAGGGCCGACCTTGAGCCATCAGAACGATGCCAGCCACCACAATGACGATGATGATAATAAGTTTGGCCCCAGTGAAAAAGTTCTGCACATAGCTTGCTAGTTTGACGCTCAAACAGTTGACACCAGTGATTATGACTGCAAAGAAACAAAGAAACAAGAAAAAAAAATCTATGACAAAAAATAACATTTATCTTCATAAGCAGCATCATTAGAAGACAAGTTGGTGTTTTATCTATTTTAAGCATATTTTTGTTGCGCTTTTACATGGACGTCTGAACAGGTTAATTAAAAATGGATGAAATTATCTGTGATATCAACAAGAACCAAATTTATTGTCCCATCTTTTATTGTTTGTGCTACTTACTTATTGCAGCTGCTGACAGGCACTTGATAACCACGAGTGGAGGGGTGCAGTCGGGGTAAAAAGGAGCAGAGGCATATTCTGCAAAGCTAAGAGTGATGATGGCAAATGAAGAAGGTTTCAGCACCATAACAGTGGTCCAAGAGTAAAGGTAGGCAACAAGGGATCCAAAAGCCTCCATTAAATAGGAGTACTCTGCCCCTGATTTGGTGATCATAGTACCAAGTTCAGCATAGCAAAGGGCTCCTGAGCGGCCAACACAAAAAGACAGAAACAAAGAAAAGTATTGTAAAAAACAGTAACATCAAAAAGACTACGTTAATGTTTTCCGTTTAGAGCAATCATCATCAAAGTTAAAATTGATCAATAACTTCAGTCTCTTTTAGCAAAGAAGCCACATTTCTGTTTGTTGGTGATGATTATCCAGCTGCTTTCCCAATTTTTTTTTTATTTTTTTTTTTTATGTTGCACACATACACATTAACATTTACCACCCTGACATTGAAGGACAAAGTCCTGGGCTTTATTCTGGAAGTTTATATTCAAGAACCCGTAATTTTCCATGAAGGATTAGATTTTACAATTGTCATAAAACAATCACAGGTAAAAAAATAGTGTTGTTAAAAAATAAAAACCAAATGACTCTCAGTGGTTTAACTGATGAATAATTGTGTAATTTTATGAGGCTTATATGCTGCTGTAAGGTATTGCAGTATAACTGCAATACATTACACTTATACTGCAAAACTTTATTAAATGTTGAACCAAGCGTCCCTTTGGAATTGCCATGAGGTTTTTAAAATGAAATCATCGAAATCATAAAGTAAGATGGTTAGATTTTAAAAGCTAAATATTTAATGGCACAAACTGGATTGTGTGCAGGAAAAAGGCCTTACGGTTTTTTTGCATGTTAAGATGACAGACTTTACATGTCCTGAATAACTGTAAAGACACAAAACTGGGTTCCAAATGCCTTCATCTACAAATATTTAATATGTAACAGAAAATTACTCAGTTTTCTTGGCCACATCTTCATCTCCAATCAGAAAGTTATCCTTTTCACAACACAGACCATGTTTACTATTAAAGTAACTATAAAGATTAAGACTTTTTTTTTTTCAAAAATGGGGAAATGTGGAGGCTAGAAAAGACGTAAAATGCAACTTTTGTATCCCATAATATTAGTAAAGTCTCTTTAGGTCAGGGGTGTCAAACTCCAGTCCTCAAGGGCCTCTGTCCTGCAACTTTTAGATGTGCCTCTGCTACACCACACCTGAAAAGAATAATTAGGTCATTAGCAAGGCTCAGGATAACCGATCTACACAGGGAGGAGGTAATTAAGCCATTTCATTCCACTGTTTTTTACCTGTGGCACATCTAAACACTGCAGGACAGCGGCCCTTGAGGACTGGAGTTTGACACCCTTGCTTTAGGTTCTTTAGCAGTTGTTTATGATTTTATGATTTGTTTTTTATCAAAAAGGTTGTTGCTTTCCAAACCAAGGGGCCAAGAAGAGTCCACAAAGCCTCTGCTTTAATAGGGTTGGTCAAGGTCAGTGCCTGCCTGAGCATTTCTGGCTCCATAACTCTGCTACAGAGTAATAAATTGTTATCATTCGTTATCACATTTTTGGTGAGGAGCACAGTGACTGTAGCACCACGTCCTCGTCCTAAAATGCATTTTCTTACTGAATCCTTTCATCTCTGAGTAGTTGTGTCCCGTCTGAGACACACTGAGGAATCAAACAATGTTTCATGCAGTGACTCTACAAAGCTTGCATGACCTTCTTGAACAGTTTTCGAGACTTAGAAATTGAGATTGTGATAAATTATTTCTAATCATTGTTGTGGCATGCTTATGGTGCATGTAACCACAAAAACAGTAAGGAAAAACATACAAAAAAAAAAGACACAATAACCTGGTTTCATTTGTGTGCACAAACTTCTACTTTGTTGAAACAAATTTTAGTTCATGTTCACCAATTACTATTCCTGAATTCACACAAATGAACCCAAAAAACTCATAGCTGATCAAATTATATGTACAAGATGCACATCAGTAACAGATAACATTAAAATCAAAGAAAACAATGTACTGTGGAACATTTCATAAACAACCTAGTTCTGTTAGGAAACAGAACCTAGTTCTGTTAGAAAACAGAACCTAGTTCTGTTAGAAAACAGGCATGTTTATAATCTTGTTTCCCACACAGAGTAATAAAGGCTTTGCACTGCTTTAATAAAAACTGAATTGAATCAAACCTCAAGACAACATAAAAACTGCTCTTTGTATGGGACGGTTTACAATGACACCATTCAGATGGTGAACTAATCGATGCATCATTCTGAATGCTGCTCTCACCCATAGTGGCTAATACTCCACAGGCAGTCCAGATGAGGAGACAGGGACCCACATCTCCTGAGTACAGCAACACTGATTTAGGAGAAATGAAGATCCCTGAGCCAATCATTGTTCCCACAATCAGGGAAATGCCACTCAGCAAACCAATCTGTTCAAACACACAGGGAAAGAAAAGTCAGTCACTTAGTGGCTTTTTCAGCCTGATTCTTCGGAAACTGCAGTGTTTGCATGTTCTATTTCATGACTTCCTTTAAAAGTCATGAAACAGATCATTATATTGTTGTTGTATCTCAGTACAGTAAAAATGTGAAATGTCTCCTGACTGATCTACACCAATAATCTGATTGATCACATTATGACAAAGTGTCATCAAGGTCAAAGCAACTGATCATGTTCTCCAGAGTGTCACTGCATTGCCTGAACACAAAGACAAAGAGACCCCGCCTTTGAAGACTACTTATGAGGTCAGACACTGATGATGGACAAAAAGACCTGGCTCACAGTCTCTGCTGTAAAAACGTTTCTCAACTGGCAAGACTCACTCTAATCAGTTCATGTCTGGTTTGGTTCAGCCCCAGTAAGCTGCTCCTCACTATGCGGGCATGAATATGGGAATGTGGGCAGCTGGTAAGCAGCAGTCGTGGTCGAATCTGTGCTGATGTTTGCAGTGACACTCAGGAACGGAGAACCTTGAGGTTGTGGTTGTGATTAATTCTGTCCTATAAAATTTATTGCTGGCCCACACATAATGATAAAACTGCTGATCAGCTCATCATCATCATCATCATCATCATCATCATCATCATCATCATCATCATCATCATCATCATCATCATCATCTTTATTAAAGACACAAGTATGTATTATTTCATTATACATATATATTTATATTCTGCCACTTTAGTTTTTTTTTTTAAACATGTAACCTTTTGGATTTAGGTAATTGAGTCAGAAGATGTAAAACCAATGTCCACACATGAACCTTACCTAAAGAAATTCCAAGCAAATAATAAAATGGCATCACACCAAACATGACCTTTTATGCAGTTCTGCTGTTTTAAACCGTTGGTGAAAACTGCAGCTCAGACAGAACGCTGCCCAGAGCCACTATGTTCTTCAGAGAGACCTGGAGCTTGTGAGGCTGTGAGACCACGGTCATCCTGCTCCAACAGTTAACGCATGTCTTCCTGTCTGCTAAGGATTAAAGCCATGATTCTGCTCTTCCACACCGAGCAGCTCTCTGACAGCAGACGGCACGTTTGCCTGTCCGCCGCTAAGCTATCTGAGAAATGTTGTTTGGAGTTTCCAGTGAAACTCACACAGACCAATCAACGAATGCAGTCTGCTGTCAATCAATTCCCTTCCATGAAATACACAGCTTGGCGCTGCTGGTGCTACCCCTGATGCCGTTGGTGTGCAACTGGTGTGCAGTCACGCTGGAACAGTAACTGTTCATTCCCAGAAAATTGGAAGTAAGATATTGTCCAAAATGTTAATGATTAGAAATTATTTCCTATAGCTCCTTGCAGCCTCGAAACATAATTACCTCCACACCAAATTTTACACTTGACTCAGGTGTGACTCAAGTAACCTTTTCTTGGCATCAGACTAATATTGGGTCTTCAAGCGACACATGTACTTTTCTCCACTGCGTCCAACTCTTTGAATTGCACTTGGTAATATAAGGGTTGAAAACAGCTGTCCAGCCATGGAAACCCACTTCAGAAACTCTCTACTTGAGTTGATCTCAAGGCCACATGAAGTTTGAAGTTATGGATGGGTTCTGCAGAAAGTTAAACAACCTCTATGCATTATGCCCCACATCTGAGAAGTGAACTGGCCCACCGGCTGACTGTGGGATATTTAGTTTCAGGGTCACTTCACAACTGGACTTAGATTTGACTTTAGAGGTGACCTCCTATCAGGGCATTAGGCCGATCTGCTGAGAGTGACCTATTGTTTCTGAAACGTCTCTAAAATCAGTCTGCATGACTAAACACTGACCTCTAGACACCCAACAACCAACTACCCCCAAAGCAACAGTGTCTCCTTAACATTTGCATAAGCAGAGAGATAAAACCATTAGGTGTCGGTCTAAAGTCAGTAATAACAATCAGATTTACCTCACACATTTTTTTGTTTTTTGTTTTTGTTTTACTAAAGTCCTACATTTCAGTAACATACTAAACAGCAATCTACTTCTCTCTTTATGACACTGGGTCAGTTTGACCTGCAGAACACAGGGACTATTAAACCAAGCATGATTTCTTGCCTGTTCCTTATCTGTAAAAACCTGCTATTATTCCACTTATCATATCATATCCGTATTGCATGCAACTGCAGCGACTATGAATGGAAATACTGTTAAGGTTTATAAAGATAATATGTGGGCTATTTGACAATCCCAGAGATTTGAATGCAAATAGTAGTGATTTTGTCTTTTCCCTTTTCAAAATGTTTCTTTTTTTTCACTTTTTACTGTCATGAAGAGGGTTTTAAAAAGTATACATTGTGCTTTGTTCAAATGTAGATAGACTTCTGAATGTCAGCCACAAGAGCTGACTCATCGAGTTGGACCCAAAAGGGGGAAATAGTTACACACAAGCTCAGTTGCCTTTATCTTTGTATACTTTAACTCTTTCGGTATGTTACTCTCTGTTGAAGAATGTCTGGTTTGTAATATACCAGGAAGTTGTGTTTGTAGAACATTCCTCTCAGTTTGACTTTGTTCACATATACAACATCAGCTCCTCTGCATATATTCTTTTACAACAACACGCACTGCATTCAAACAATAATTTCCCCCAAAATATATCTCAGGACTGTGAGAGTTTAGAGAGCCTGGAGCTGATGGTTGCGGGGTTAATTTGCAGAGACACTTGCTGTAGCACTGCCTGGTACGCAGCTCTTGCTATCCTCCCCGCCCCCACTTACTGCAAAAAGGTACATATGATGGGATTCTATGGTGTGAACGTTTATTCAGCCTTTTTCTCAGAACACTGCTTGAAGCAATACTCACATCTTGTTGAAGCACTGTTGCTTTCTCGGGTCGCTTTTTCTCCAAGGGCCCATCTCTGTCTGTGGGGCCATTTTGTGAAGCTTTACTGATGCTGTCTGTTTCCATTTCTGTGAAGAAAAAACAAACAAACACACAAACAGCTTAAAGACTGCAAAGACTGACATTAGGTCAGACTGAATCATTCAGATTTTGTGCCAGTTATGCAACAGTAAATGTCAGCATAATGACAAATTTGGCGTTTTTAGCTAGTTTTTATATTATTCTGGAAGTTAGCACATAGTTTAGGGATTTTGTCTGACTTAAAACCGGAAAGATTTTGTCTGATTTAATGAAAGACTGTGAAATAAATAGCTTTGTATGTTCTTAGATTAATATCTCTTTCAATTTTATCAGCAGTCATACTGACAGCAACTCAACTAGTAAACATGTTTGTTGTCACTTGCGTCACAAAACAAGATAAGGTTTACAGGAAATGATGTTGCCTTACAATTAGTAAACTGTTTTTATTAACTAACGAGAACATCACCACTCAATAAACACATGCAAAAAAAGGAAGAAAATAACTTCTTTTTTTTCTAAATCATGTTAATTTTTAATGAAAAGTTCACCAAAAAGAAACATGTTAGTTATCTAGCAATGTTGACTTTATTTCCAGTTTTTTTTTTTTTTTCCTGGAGCATTGTATCTGTAGAACCAGAGAGAGATAGCAATCTGAGCTTTATCAACATTATGGCTAGTTATTGTGGATCAAAGAGGTGGAGAAGTTTCAATCTTCAGAAAAAACTTGTCTTATGATTCAATCTTAAAACTTTGAGAAGCAACTGAAGCTTTTTTACGTTTAATTTACTCACATATTTTTTTCCACAAAGACTGAGAGTGTGAAGTGCTCACCTCCAGGAACCTTTTTAAACGTTTTATTATGGATCACTTTATGAACTGGTGTGTTCAAAATACAGCATCGTACAAGCAGACAAATAGCACAGCAAATCCACTTCTAATCTAAAAACAATCTAGAATTGTTAGATCCGTTGATAAAATTAAAATGTATTTGCAAAATTAAGAGAGAGGAAACAATACAGTGAAAACAACACAGGGCCACCCATCAACTCAAAAAGAAAGCTTTTTAATTTAAGATGTTAGTTTTTTTTATAGTTTTGTCTTCTTTTTTTTTCCTAAAAAAAGAAGAAGCTAGAATGCAACATTTTAGCTTCTTGAGCAAAGACATTCCATGTCTTCTAAAGCTGCTACAGTTTAAATTTCTGAGTTGTTTTTGTTGTGTTTTGTTTTGTCCAGCAATTTGCTTTTTGTTATTGGTGGTAAAGTTGTACACACGTAGTCAGATTGGAATGAGGTCACAAAATTTATGATTGACTGTGTTAAAAAAACGTATCATGAAGAGTTAGACTCAGATATACACAAAGATGTGTTTTTCTTTCTTTTCTAGGTGAGTTGGAAATGTGTTAAACCACATGATTTTGCTGTTGTGTAATGCAATTAGGTTATATACAGGGTAAAAAAGGAACAAAAAGTCTCATCTTGAAAAACAAAGTAGCATATTTAGAATATATATTATTAAATCATCAATATGACATTTCAGTTTAGAAATAATGAGCATTATGTAGCGCTAACTCTGAACACAGAGTTAGAGTTGTTTATTAATATGTTTACCTGTCAGTTTTTTATAGGAACAGAACATGACGTAGTTTGTTTTGTAGATATTAAGTAAAATTTGTTTAACCAAAACTAGGAGTGTTTTTTTTTGTTTTTTTTTAAAGCTGATTATTGTTAATCTTTTTTGAGATTCTGGAATTTGACTATTACAAACTACATACCAGACACTTGGGATGTTTTTTAAACCTGTTTTCAAAAACTGACTCCAAGTCGAGTGTGAGCTTTGATGTATTAATATATGCAACAAGTAAAACTTAATTTAAATAAGTTATCTAGATTTTATAATTACAGAAAAGATTAACTTCTAGATATAAAGTGAATATTTCCACATGTTGCTTTTTGCACACTAGAAATGACTAAAGCTTGGAATTTAAGTTTCAAAAAATTATTTTTTATCTAAATTTGGCTACTTAAAAAGTGTGATTATTCAAGTTTTTAAAACCAGATTGAGTCACAAACTTTGGGTAAGACATAGGGAACATATAGATGTTGACTTCTCCCACCGTCCAAGATAATGTGTAACTTACAGTGTGTTAATATATAATCATACAAGTGTCCTACAGGTAAAGAGGAAAAACAAAGAAAATATCAGGAATGCCATTCTTGATGTCCTATCTGAAAAATTATGTAAACTATTTCACTTACTTGTGATTTGAAACCTCGTTACTTAGAGTCCATAAACATCCACCACAGCTTCTTCAAAAACCTGGGGCCAGTGATGAGACGGAAGAGCTGATGCTCAGCCAAGTTAGGAGAAGAACAGCAGGAAAGTCTGACCTGGGAGAAAACCTGAGGCTCCATGAGTCTGAACACACACTCCCCTGGGGGAGGTTCCTAAATCTGATTGGCCATCCTGGGAAGTCGTGAGCTGAAAGAGGGAATGCTTCACAGCCACAGCAGAAATACATGAGTTATAGAAATGCACTGGTAAGAGCTGAAATTAAAGCATCCAAAGACAAACAAAAGAGAAATCTGAGTAAAGTCGGCTGTTCCGAGCAATGGTGCATGCATATACCTTACAACAGAATGTTGTGGGAAAAAGAGAAGAAAAAAACTGCAATTTTCTGACTAAATGGATATTAATTCTGCAAGTACAACTCCATGCATGCATTGTATTTTAACTATATGTCGAGGTAGTTGTTGCTGACAGAGCTCATGTTCTGCTACATGGAGCGACAATTTCAAGTTAGAACATTTTTCTTTTTTCTCTGAAAACCTTAAAACACTTCCTTCCATTTCAGCTTAAATAACCAGACCTCTTCACAATGCCTCTTTGATAAAGATATATGATACCACTGAAGTTGTGTGCTTGCACATTTGTGTGTGTGTGTCTGCAGCATTGCCTTTCCACGCTGGCCAGGTTTTGCACTGTTTTCTTTTTTTTTTTTCTTTTACTACTCTGAGCTGCATGGAAGTCAGAGAATTTGACCCTGCAACACCATAATTTTTTCTTTACTGAGCTGTTTTGTTTTTTCTCAAGGCAGCTCATTACGTCTCTTTGACTGGCTTTTTCTTCACCCAAACAGTTCATTGCTTATACATGAGAGATATATAAAATGCAATAATAGTACAGTTCACGCAAACACAGTTGGAAAAGGTTTAGTCTTCCTGAAGTCTATCTCTTAATACAATAAATGTTTTTAATCTTTCCATTGGCAAACTTGTTTTTTTTTTTTTTTGCCTTCTTTTTGCATAAGGATTGTAAAAGAATTTGAACAGTTGCCTCACAGGCAACTGTAATCTTCTAGCACAAGAACACACTGACATATAAACTCAGTAACCCCGTGAAGAACCTGAACAACATGACCGAGTCTCAGACACATTCAGAGAGGCTGAGAATCTGACTGAATTTGTTCTCAGCAACAAAATGCTGTCTTGACAGTATTATTTAAGATTTTTTTTCCCCACTACAAAATGTATTTATTCTTTTGAAATCTAATCTAATGGTCAGATTTGTAATCTAATCGCTTAGATTAGAAAGTGAAAGGCCACTTTCTTATCTAAGTAAAAGTGGACTTTCACTTAGATCAGACCACACAGGATTCACACCACAATTCTCATGCTAAAATTTATTGAAAAACGGTTTTTAATTGAATAAGTCATGTTTGTGATATTAATGAAAATTATTTTAGAATTTCAATTATTATGTCATTAGTAGGAACTAATTTTAACTATTCCATTTACATGTCTCTTTGTTTCTTTCTATCTCTATTTAAATACACTCACTGTTGGTACACCATACTACCACCAAGCTGGACCCACACTTGCTTTCATACCTGTCTTAATTCACTGTGACATTTATTTCATGAAGTGTCGAACCTTCCTAACATGCTAGCATTACACGGTTGCTGATCTCTTCACTGCACATCCATCCAATTCAAGTTTATCATTTCACCACATCCCAAAGACACTTTATTGTATTCAGACTTTTTACCTATGGGGTACTTGCTATTGAAAAGAAAATTTCTAAAAACGGTATTACAAAGAAAGTCTTGTGGACGCTCCGTTTTATAGAAATACGGTACTCCTGCAGGTCTATAAGGCCTCCGGCCTGTAGGTGGCGATAGTACGAGCAACATAACCCTTTAAATGCGTCACTTCCGTCACATGTAACGTAAAGAATCTATGGTGAACAGGGTTTGAAACTTTCAGAAATTGAAAGTCGTTTAAATCCTCTCGTAGTTTGAAGATGAACACCGCTCTGAAGCAGTGGAAGGAGGCGTCCACCCTAATCCTCACCGCAGGACGCAGGCTCGGTGCGGACAGTTTGTCGCCAAGAACACCGCTGGACGGCAACGGCGCAGCGACACGGCTGCCGCACAGCTCCGAGTTTGATTACGACGTCCTGTTGCTGAAACGAAGCGCTAAAAGCACATTTATGCCCAACGCGTATGTGTTTCCCGGCGGCATGGTGGACTCTTCGGACTTTTCAAGTGATTGGTTAGACGTCTTTAAATCTTTTCTTAATTCCCCTGGTTTTGGTTTAAGGAGCGTTAAGCAGCCCGTGGAGAACAGACCCCCGATCTTTGCGACAAACCGATTGAAACTCGGCTCTCCCATCCCGGGGGAAGTCGCCCTGAGAATTTGTGCCGTCAGAGAGACTTTTGAGGAATCAGGAGTGTTGCTGGTTGTGCCTAAAAAGGAAGAGAAACGCATTTTAAAAAGCTTTCAGGACACACGTTTTAGTCAACATCACACAGAACATAAACTGGGTTGTGATGAACTCTCAAAGTGGAGGGCGTTGGTGAACAAGAACCCTTCCAACTTCATGAGGATGTGCCAGGAGTTGGAGGTTTTGCCCAATATCTGGGCTTTACATGAGTGGGCGAACTGGCTGACCCCCACCGCCAAATATGGGAGGACGAGGTTTGACACAGCTTTCTTCATGTGCTGTTTGCAGGAGGTGCCCAGCACGCTGCAAGATGAGAAGGAAATTGAGCGCTTTCAGGTAATTTTTGAAATATAAGCAAGTTGGGTTTTGAAAACTTACCCTATATGCACCGATCAGCGATTTTATGACCAATTTGCGAATACCAATATTTATTTTATAGCCCCCCCTGATTCTGATTTCTGTTTAACTGCAGATAACTAAAATTCGCAAAAATACACCCTCTTGTACATTATATATATAAAAAAAATTGAACAGTCACAACTTTTCAAAAATGCCCTAAAATTGCAGAGTTGTCTCACCATACGTCACTGAAAATATGTTGTGAAATTACCAGTACTAAACGGATCTCATCATATTGTTCTCTTCATCATCCAAATATTGAGGTGGATGGCTTGAAGACTTGACCAGCTTGTTTGTCTTTCTTGTCAACTCCACTGAGATGGTGGCCAGAAAACAAACTGTATTCCTGTAGAAACCCAGAAGAAACTGTACTGGGTTGAATACTGGTCTACAAAAGAGGCCATGTTTAAATATCAAAAAGGATTCTTCAAGGTTCGGCATTAGATTCAGCTTAAGACCATGTCAATGCTGTCTTGAATCGTTTCATAAATAACAGCCAAAGTTTTTTCATAGAAGCTCCCTAATTGTATAATTTTAATTTTTATCTTGGCTTGGCTAAAATTTACAAGTAACAAGACCACACCAGCAGGATTTTCAATAAAACGTTCATCTGATGGACAATACTGGACATTTCCAAAATTTGAAAGAATATCGATGGAAGCACTTCATAAAAGACAAGGAGAGAAAATTAAGCTGAACTACTAATGTTTGAACTACTAACCATTTTAAAAAGACAGCTCCCTATGCTCACTACATACCACAACATGCCAATATATTGCAGCTGTCTCACCACAACTTGACAATCTTCTAGCATCACCACCAGGGTTAAGATAGATAATTATACAGAAGAAATGACTAGAGCTTATTATTATTAGAACCAGGGGTGATGTCACACTGTGTGTGAAAGAGATAGAGCAGTTAACATTACACAGCTCTGTAGT